CTCTCTCCCTAATCTTCCCCATAAACACAACTGACGTGCTTGCGTGTGGGGATGGAATTCCTTTCCAGCTCAGACCTTGCCTGCTTGCCCTTCGCCACAAAGATAACTTCTTGTTGTAACAGCTCTCTCACTGTGTTCTTCCTGGTTCAGCAGTTCCACTGCTGGATTAATTGTTTTCCACCTTAGGACGACCGCTCGTGTTGTGATCAAAACGTCGTGATATATTATTATTTTTCTACCTACGTGACTTTACCGAAAGAACCAAAGAGTAACAAGTAAATATACAAACTATACTATAAACCACACTCGGTTACAAATTAACAGAACCAACCCAACTACAATATGTTTATATATGTAACCTGACAAGTAACCATAAAATAACATAGTCCGATAACACTATGGAAAACTATTTTTGTTCTTGGTAGTGTTATTTCGTAATTGTTTATACCTAAAAAGTATAGAAAATGGCTATTATTCCCAACAAACTTTACTTTTGTAACCAGGACAGTGATATTTTGAAAATATTCTATTTACAATGAGAAAACGGGCGAATTTGTGTCTTCATTCACATAAAGTCCGAAAAAACATTTCAATCAAGATTAACATGTATCTATACTAAAGGAATACAGTTAAGAGACAAACAGCATTTTATATATATACTATTAAAAAGGTAGAATTAAAACAACATAATTGGGCAAATATTTTATCATTACACTAGCTGTACTACCCGGCTTCGCCCGGGACTTGTATCCACCACGGCCGGCCGCCTTTGTCTCCCCAGTGGCGATGTTAATACGCCACAGCAGTTACTCGTTTGAGGCAGAGTCGACCTAGGGGAGGTTCAAATAATCGTCACCGGTGGTGGCCGTGAGCGGGAATCGAACTGGGTTCGCCGGGTTGGTAGCGCAGCGTAGCGTTAAGCACTACACCCACTGCTCCTCACACACCACACACGCACAGACACACACACAGACACACGCAGACACACACAAACAGACACACACACAGACACACAGACATCACGCTAACCACTACACTACCGCTCCCCACACACCACACACGCACACACACAGACACACACACAGACACAGACACACACACAGACAGCACGCTAACCACTACACTACCGTTCCCCCTACACAACACACGCGCGCGCGTCCATAGGTACACATACACGCGCTTGCTGCAGACACACACATACACACACATACATACACGCAGACACACACATACACACAAACACACATACATACACACAAACACATACACAGTGACATGCGTATTCCCATCGCGGGGCACGGGACGTGCCTCCCGGCAAATCCCTCGCAAGCGATCGTACACAGATGGACAGACAACTGAACAGTACGACGTTTGGCTGGTAATTGCATCCAGCATCAGCGAAAGGACGTACTCTGAAATGGGAATTGTTGTGGTTTTACGCTTGTACACACCGGTGGGCCAAAGCAGAGACTTATGAGTGTTTTATCAACGGGACACTTTTTGACTGATTGGCCGTGTGGGGTGGTGGAGGGTTACAACACATTAATAATTAAGGCGAGCGAAAGGCAATAAAGTTATTTTTGAAGAATGTTTGCGAAAGCGTACGTGTTACAAAAAGACTCACTTTACTTAAGAAGCAGGCTAATGTGTACATGATAGACTGTCAGTACAGCCACCCAGAAATATAACCAGGCTACACTGTACATTCTAGAGTGGCAGTACGCTCAGCCAGCTTAATGAGTATTTGTTGAGTGAACATTTAAACAAATCCATTATTGGCGCGTGTGGTTTAAACATAATTATACAGTAGTTTTTTCATGAGAAATGGTAATTGTTGTGGTTTTCCGCTTGAACACACCGGTGGGCTAAAGCAGTCAAGTCTTAGTCTTTTATGAACGTGACAATTTTGTGCAGATTGGGCGTGTCGGGTGGTGGATAAGGGTGACACCTTAATAAATAAGGCGATCTAAACGCAATAACGTTGTTTATGAATAATGTTTGCGAAAGCGTACGTGTTACAAATTGACTAACTTTACTTCCTAACCAGGCTAATGTGTACATGATAGAATGGCAGTACACCCAGCCAGCTGAATAAGCAGGCAGCAGTCTACATAATAGACGGGCAGTACGCTAAAGCAGCTTAATGACTATTTGTACAAAGAACATTTAAAGAATCGATTATAATAACCAGGCTACAGTCTACATTAGAGACTGCCAGTACACCCACTCAGCTTCATAAGCAGGCTAGAGTCTACATGATAGAGTGGCAGTACGCTGACAGAGCTTAATAAGCAGGCTACAGTGTACATAATAGACTGTCAGTACGCTCACCCAGCTTAATGAGTATTTGTACAGTGAACATTAAAGTAATCGATTGTTGGCGCGTTGGGTTTAAAAGTAATATTAATAGCACACATTGTGGTGGGGGTATAGTGAAGAGTAGGAAAAACTTTGATGAATTTACCTCAGAGTGGCGTGGTGGGTGTCGGGGCCTAGTAGCGTGCAAAGCCTGCGGCCTCGCCTAAAATTGTCGACTTGGAAGAGGCAGGGTACGGGTGGCGTTCCCCCCCCCCCCCCTAGCGCGCCAACAATACTGTGTAATGGCTATTATTTAATTAATTACGGAGCTTATGAAAGTGGCGAAGGCGTGGCTAGCGGTTGGCAGGGGCAACCGCCATCCAATAAAACTGCAGCCCTTGGCGAAGGCGTCGCTAGCCGTTGCCGGGTCGAATGAAAGCGGCGAAGGCGTCGCTAGCCGTTGCCAGGGGCAACCGCCGTCCAATGAAAGTGCGTATGTTCCGGAGACACACAGACACACAGACAGACAGACAGATTCACGATTTTATATATATAGATTATAATAACCAGGCTACAGTCTACATTATAGACTGCCAGTACACCCACTCAGCTTCATAAGCAGGCTAGAGTGTACATGATAGAGTGGCAGTACACTGACAGAGCTTAATAAGCAGGCTACAGTGTACATAATAGACTGTCAGTACGCTCACCCAGCTTAATGAGTATTTGTACAGTGAACATTAAAGTAATCGATTGTTGGCGCGTTGGGTTTAAAAGTAATATTAATAGCACACATTGTGGTGGGGGTGTAGTGAAGAGTAGGAAAAACTTTGATGAATTTACCTCAGAGTGGCGTGGTGGGTGTCGGGGCCTAGTAGCGTGCAAAGCCTGCGGCCTCGCCTAAAATTGTCGACTTGGAAGAGGCAGGGTACGGGTGGCGTTCCTCCCCCCCCCCTAGCGCGCCAACAACACTGTGTAATGGCTATTATTTAATTAATTACGGAGCTTATGAAAGTGGAGAAGGCGTGGCTAGTGGTTGGCAGGGGCAACCGCCGTCCAATGAAACTGCAGCCCTTGGCGAAGGCGTCGCTAGCCGTTGCCAGGTCCAATGAAAGCGGCGAAGGCGTCGCTAGCCGTTGCCAGGGGCAACCGCCGTCCAATGAAAGTGCGTATGTTCCGGAGACACACAGACACACAGACAGACAGACAGATTCACGATTTTATATATATAGATTGGTCACGTATCAATAGCATCTTTTCAAATGTGGCAATCTTGCTGGGTTGTAGAGATGTTCGATTAGGCTTGGGTATTATGGGATCCTCTTAGCTCGCATTGGTGAACTTTTTGAGGGAGGTTTTATTACGACTTCACATAGCGTGGCCACACTTATGCCAGTTTGTCGGCAAACAAGTCCAGGCCACGTGTTCCGTGCAGTTCAGGTCAGGTTCAGAGTCCAACTCAGGTGTAAAGGTCATTGGCATCTTTTTTCTGCCTTTAACAACTTCTTGAACAACTTACCTATACATATCAATAGTACACCTATAAATAATAAATGTAAGACTAAATTGAAGACGTTATTTTTAGATTGCTTATGATAACTCAAATTATGTAGCCAAAAAAACATAGAGTGGTCTCAAATGTTGTTTTTGTTAATTTACGTTTATTGGTGTACACTATACACGATTGTTTTTAACATCGTATGTTAGCTTATCACTTCCTTACTCGGTAAATATCTCAACTACCTGTTTGTTCTGCCACCTCGAGATGTATTTCATGGGAGGTGCAATATTAGAGACATACAGGAGCATGTACAGTTCTACACACATACTAGACATATAGAAGCATATACCGTACAGTACCACACACAGAGATGCACATAGACTGGAGGCACACAAGCATGAACAGTTCTACACACACAGACAAGACACAAGCATATACCGTACAGTACTACATACAGAGACACGCAAAGACGAGAGGCATCCAGAAGCTGGACACACAATCGGCATATAAATACACAGACTCACACTGACTGGAGGCATGAACAAACATATACAGTTCTACGCATAGAGACACTGACTGGAGACACAGCAGTATACACTGTACAGTAATACACACAGACTAGCGACACACAGACACACATACAACACAAAGACAAATATCCCCCGTATAGGCTGAACAGGCTTTAGGGGCAAGTGCTGAAAGCGAGCACCTATGAAGGCTGGAACAGCACACGCGGGGGGTAGGTCGCCAAACACCACGCCTCTTGTCGCCCCAGTGGCGATGTTTACCACACACCACCCAACGTACACATTTTGAGGCTGAGTGGACCTTGGGGATGAGGCCCAGGACTGGGTCAGATAATCGCTACCACTGATGGTGGTGGCCGTGAGTGGGATTCGAACTTGGGTCGTAGTGCAGCGCTAACTGCAAAGACACCGCTCCCAAAGCTGTGGAAGAATTAGGTTTTCTCTATACTCGCCTCACAACAGAGCTATCACAGCTCAGTCTTTCTGATGTATATGGACAACTAGATCTAGAGAGTTGTGTACAGTATCCGTGTAAATCATGAGGCTGCTGTTTGTGCACCAAGGACGCAGGTTCAAATTCCAGGCAGTGTCTCGTGAAGTCAATGATGACAATAAAAAATATTTAAGTATTTTACTTCCTTCTTCACCATCGCTATAAGAGAGAGGTCCTGATCCAGCCTCTCCCTGAGCCTAACAGCTAGCGTTCCGAGCGAAGCTATGATTCATGGCGAGCGCGACTAACAGTGAGAGTGTGGCTCGTTAGCTGTGCTGCTGCATCTGCTTGGACAAGTGCTTCTGCTCCTCCACGCTAATCTGCGGACACTCGTTCTATCCTCTGGTGTCTGGAGGCTGCCTGGGAGACAATGAGCCACTTAAGCTGCCCGCAGTGCCGAGCAGCTTTCCCTGTGCGACGCTAGCTGAGGAGGAACGTGGCCCTTCACCAATATCTCGGAGCAGCTAAAAGTTGGCGACAGGATGGCCACGGCCGTCGTTTGTGACATCTGCGGTGACGGCCAGACCCCTGCAGTGAAGACTTGCCTGAGATGCGAAATGTCCTACTGTTTTTCACACTTCAGACCTCACGTGGAGAATCCCAGGTTGAGATATCATGCCATGGTGGATCCTACTGCGAGTTGGGACGAGCGAAGATGCCCTAAGCACAGTGAGGAGCTGAAATTCTACTGCACAAAAGACAGCAGCCTGGTCTGCTCAACTTGCACCATCGCAGGTGAACACAAAGGACATGATGTCACTATGCTGAAGAAGGAGCACGAGACACGGAAGGTGAGGCCCTCAGAATAAGACACCGCAACACGATCTGACCAATGCTGTCACTGGGCTGCACAATATCTAAAAAAAACATTATTGAGTGTTAATTCTCTCTCATGAATCTCTGTCTCTATTGCTAATCTGGTTAGCATTTTAGGAAACAGCCTTAGGATATATTGAATCCTAGGCTCTCCATAAGCATATCTGTATAAGGAATTAACTGGACAGAGATATGGGACCGATATTACAGCCACCTGATAGACAATTCTATTAGATGTATCTTCTAAACTATAGACAGCTGTGGGCACATGGGCTCTTGGGTCCGATTCGGTACTACAGTAATACCAAACCAGTGCGGCTCCCACCGGCCGCTTTACAACGAGGCATCAGCTTTCCCACTCCCTGTTCTCCCCATCTCAGTTGCGAAACAGGGGCAGCATGGAGATGACGGCCTTCATTATGGAGGGATTGCGATGGAGGGAAGGGCAATGTGAGGGGTGGCTCAGTGCCTCGAGTTTCCCGTGGTGACATCTCATCTCTTACAGATACACGTAAGAGAGGAAACGCGAGCGGTGGAGGAGAAGAGGAAGGAGGCGGAGGAGTCTGTGAAGCGGATGGAGGCTGCTCGCAGGGAGGCGCAGGTTACCATTTCCGGCTCTGGCTCTCTGGTCCCCATGACCCCGTCGTGGAGGTCACAATTCAAGCGAGTTCCGTGCAACATTATAACGTTGATGGCTCTATACAATATAATTACTTTCCAAACTTAACATTAACTGCAAGTGGGTTGCATATGTATTGCATTCATTAACTGCAGTGGTGAGTCTGCTATGAGCTTGGGTAACTCGGCATCGCGTGTTCCACTGCTGTGGAAAAAACAGATGGAGAGAATGCATGGATTCTCAAGAGGGAGTGTGGTGCAGCTGGAGTGTGGTGCAGCTGTTTTGCTGTACGGGAGGTTGCACACCGGCACTGACGCAGAGGCATGAACACCACACAGCCACATCTCACACCCCCCTAATCGCGTCCCCGGAGTCTGACCCACGGGGGGCCCCCTCCTGACTCCGAGTCCCAAAGTCTGAACTTCCACGACCCAGCGCCCTCTTATGCAGAAAGAGGAAAAGAGCCACACCACTCTTGCCTCCTTGGGATTGATCTACAGTGAGGGAAAAAAGGATTTGATCCCCTGCTGATTTTGTACGTTTGCCCACTGACAAAGAAATGATCATTCTATAATTTTAATGGTAGGTTTATTTGAACAGTGAGAGACAGAATAACAACAAAACAAATCCAGAAAAACGCATGTCAAAAATGTTATAAATTGATTGGCATTTTAATGAGGGAAATAAGTATTTGACCCCTCTGCAAAACATGACTTAGTACTTGGTGGCAAAACCCTTGTTGGCAATCACAGAGGTCGGACGTTTCTTGTAGTTGGCCACCAGGTTTGCACACATCTCAGGAGGGATTTTGTCCCACTCCTCTTTGCAGATCTTCTCCAAGTCATTAAAGATTCGAGGCTGACGTTTGGCAACTCGAACCTTCAGCTCCCTCCACAGATTTTCTATGGGATTAAGGTCTGGAGACTGGCTAGGCCACTCCAGGACCTTAATGTGCTTCTTCTTGAGCCACTCCTTTGTTGCCTTGGTCGTGTGTTTTGGGTCATTGTCATGCTGGAATACCCATCCATGACCCATTTGCAATGCCCTGGCTGAGGGAAGGAGGTTCTCACCCAAGATTTGACGGTACATGGCCCCGTCCATCGTCCCTTTGATGCGGTGAAGTTGTCCTGTCCCCTTAGCAGAAAAACACCCCCAAAGCATAATGTCTCCACCTCCATGTTTGACGGTGGGGATGGTGTTCTTGAGGTCATAGGCAGCATTCCTCCTCCTCCAAACACGGCGAGTTGAGTTGATGCCAAAGAGCTCCATTTTGGTCTCATCTGACCACAACACTTTCACCCAGTTATCCTCTGAATCATTCAGATGTTCATTGGCAAACTTCAGACGGGCATGTATATGTGCTTTCTTGAGCAGGGGGACCTTGCGGGCGCTGCAGGATTTCAGTCCTTCACGGCGTAGTGTGTTATCAACTGTTTTCTTGGTGACTATGGTCCCAGCTGCCTTGAGATCAGTGACAAGATCCTCCCGTGTAGTTATGGGCTGATTCCTCACCGTTCTCATGATCATTGCAACTCCAGGAGGTGAGATCTTGCATGGAGCCCCAGGCCGAGGGAGATTGACAGTTCTTTTGTGCTTCTTCCATTTGCGAATAATCGCACCAACTGTTGTCACCTTCTCACCAAGCTGTTTGGCGATGGTCTTGTAGCCCATTCCAGCCTTGTGTAGGTCTACAATCTTGTCCCTGACATCCTTGGAGAGCTCTTTGGTCTTGGCCATGGTGGAGAGTTTGGAATCTGATTGATCGATTGCTTCTGTGAACAGGTGTCTTTTATACAGGTAACAAGATGAGATTAGGAGCACTCCCTTTAAGAGTGTGCTCCTAATCTCAGCTCGTTACCTGTATAAAAGACACCTGGGAGCCAGACATCTTTCTGATTGAGAGGGGGTCAAATACATATTTCCCTCATTAAAATGCAAATCAATTTATAACATTTTGAAATGCGTTTTTCTGAATTTTGTTGTTGTTATTCTTCTCTCACTTTAAAGCTTTCGTGACTGCTTTCGTGACTGCAGGGATTCATCTTCTTGGTTCTTTCGGTAATAAAAATAAAAAAAATTTAAAAAAATATTATGTTTTATTTTTATTATTTTATTACTTCCCTTCTACGTGACTTTACCGAAAGAACCAAGAAGATCTTCTCTCACTGTTCAAATTAACCTACCATTAAATTATAGACTGATCATTTTTTTGTCAGTGGGCAAACGTACAAAATCAGCAGGGGATCAAATACTTTTTTCCCTCACTGTACTTAGTCCCATGGGTCCCTCGTTCCCGTATGCATGATTCACGACTAGGAACTATATTTTATTTTACCAGGTAAGGACCAATGAGCTATGTAGCTCTTTTTCATAAGCAATCTGGCTATCACAAATGATAGATCAATGAAGTGGCTGGTCACGAGGGAATGTATATCAGCTAAATAATCTAAATGCTTGTTAATTCTGAATGTAGAGGAAAAAACTGGAGGACCCGGATACAAATCCATGCGACCACAGAGAGAACACACAAACTCCTAATATACAGGCGACAGGATCGAACTACTGTCCTTCTGTATACCAGGCAAAGGCGATAACATCTCGCCACTGCGGTGCCCACACAAACATACGAAGTGGATCATGGCTCCGAGAGACAACCGTAGTCCCTGTTTCTCTGCAGCAATTGGTGGCTGGGATCAGGGGTCGCATCATAGGCAAGTTCGCTCACCTAAGAAAGGCTCTGGACGAGGACGAGAGGGAAGCTCTACGTCGCGTGGCCATGAAGGAGCGCGAGCTGCTATCCCGGATCGAGGAGAACATCGCTCATCACAAGGGGGAGATCGCCGAGCTCCAGGCAGCGGCCACTCGCCTGCGCACTCTTCAGCTTGAGAAGGACTCGCTCACCTTCCTGCAGGTGGGGAGCGCCTCTGTAGAGATACGGCGCGGGTGTCCAGAATAACAAAGCCGGCAGCAGCAGAGGGACTCGTGGTCCAAGGGTAGAGACTTCACTCATGATCTCTCTCTCTCTTCTACAGGGGCACCTGGAGGAGACGCACAGGTACAAATATTTAACGTTTTACGGTTAAATACTCAACACGGGGCTGTGAGTGTGTGAGACACTGGCTGTGTGAGACACTGGCTGTGTGTGAGACACTAGCTGTGTGTGAGATACGGGCTGTGTGTGAGACACGGGCTGTGTATGAGACTATGGCTGTGTGTGAGACACTTGCTGTGCGTTAGACACTTGCTGTGTGTGAGACACTTGCTGTGTGTGCTGTGGATGCTGAGTGTTCCGATGCTGTGGTGAAATGAGGCTGCGTGTGATGCTGTTGGTGGTTCTCTCAGGAGAGAGATCCAAAAGGAATCCGCACCTCCACCTCCCACTTCACTGGACGCCACCACGATCCGCTCCCTTGAAAGAGGGATGCGCAGACTCCTGCCTCTCGTCTGTAAGTACCTCAGTTTTGCACCCGAGTGTCCCGCTGTGTTGCACTCCACTTCTGTGCTCACCACCTTCGTCAACTGTGTTTAAACGGCTAAAGTCCACTAAGCGATGTAGTTATTTTCAGAAGCAAAGTGGCTTCACAAATGATAACTCAAATAAGCGGGCTCTGGTGTGGGAATTTATAGCAGCAGCCAAATTCTCTGAACGCGTGATGTTGATTCTAAATGTGGAGGGGAAAACCAGAGGACTCGGGGAAAAATCCAGACGACCACGAAGAGAGAGACGACAACTCCAAATATATAGCAGGCGTCAGCGTCGGGATCGCACCCACAACCTCTGAAGAAAGGCAGTCCAACACGATCTACAGACGGATAGAAAAAGAGACGTACCTACAGAGACAAAGATCCCTCGTGTAGCCTCAGCAGACTGTTGGGGCAAGTGCTGTTAGCTAGCAGCACATATAAAGCCCGGTATGGCACACGAGGGGGTGGGTGGCAAGCACCACGCCTGGCTGCCTTTATCTTCCTCGCAGCAAATGTTCCCACATCACACCAGCAGAGGGTAATGCAGCATACACCATTATACTGTACCTCTACGCTTCTACGTTTATGATCCCCATCCTTCACCAACGTGCAATGACAAGAGTGGTGAAGTATGATCAAATAACCCCCATGACTCACACGGCGTGGGGAGGCCCTTATCCAGCATTGGAGAGACAACATGTCTGTGCGTTGATGTTACTGTGCAAGGCTGCGTGGACAATTTGCACACGTGTTGTGTTTATAGATAAATGCTAACAGTGGCATTAACATCGTGGTGCTGGCATCATCACCAATATTCATTACCACTGCACACACACCCATGGTGCTATTATTATCCATTAGTACACATACTAGGATTCGTTGGTATTTGTTTACACATACTAGTATTTGTTCGTATTTGTGCATGCATACTCGTATTCGTTAGTATTTGTGTACATATACTAGTATTCACTAGTATGTGTGTACACATACCAGTGCAGTGACTCCGACACACGTTCTTGGTTTGTTAAGAGCCTTGAGTTTGGACACGACTCTATTCCTATGCCTGGACTTTGGCTCTTGATGCTCGAACTTCGTCTTCTCTCCAACCATCCATTCCCCTTGTGCTCTCCCCTGTTATATTCCCCGAGTCCCTTTTCTTGAAGGTTCACTCACCCCATTTCCCTCAGGCAATCCTCGTCCTCCTCAACTGGTTGGCAACCATTGCTCTGACTCTCATTTTCCCGCCTTTTACGTTCGGATTTCTCAACCAATCAGTTACATTTTCTGTCCGTGACCAATCCTCTTTGAGGCCTTTCCTGCACCAATCAGAGGCCTGTAACGCACTTCTTGATTGTCCGTCTGTGTACTTACCCTGCCAGACAAGTGGTCTATTGTTTCGGTCTTCACATCACTCCCGCACCCCTTAAAAAAAAGAGCAATCCTGGCTAACACCAGAGAAGGGAATGACAAAGAGCAACAGACCACGGGAAGCCTAGGAGAATTTCACTCAAAAAATGTATGACATCAAAAGGGCCTCATGTTTCCAGAACCCACGTGAGGCCCTGTGGCATGGCCCAACAATAATGTGCTTATGTGTCCAATTATGGCAATAAACATGTTCATGACCAAAATTAACCTTTTGTCTATGTAGATGTGAATAAATGAGTGTATTTTCGGCACGCAGTTTTTGCACATCCCATAATTAGTTAACAACAAGACCGTGGGAACAATAAGGTGCAACAATCTCCTGCTCCATCCAGGAACAGTGGTAATGCAATTGTGCACATCTTGCACTGGTCCTCGTTGCTGGACCGGCATACGCTGCAGTGTCCAGCAGTGAGTCGTCCTACATTAGGCTCGGTCCTGTGGGAGGCACAGGAGCATGCACAGGAGACATCGGTCCTCTGGGCGGCTGCTGTGGCTTGTCGAACACCCCAGATTCCGGAGGGAGAGGACATGGAAATGAGGTGCTTTGTTGATGATGGAGGTAGGGTTTCAGGCACGATGGGTGAACATACCAATGGTGACGTCCTGACTGTATATGCACGCATTGTGGCCGATTCACCTCGATAGATTCGACCGGGCCCTGCCATAGCCGATGCAATTTGTGAGAGGTACATAATGGACATTCGGGCAATGTAACCATGCATTGTAGCCTACTGCCTAGGGAAGTGTGTGAACCTGTCGCCTTGTATTTCGCTCGTTAGTGGCCTGTGCTTTTGCCGTGCTCGCCATTGCCGCTGTGTGTGCTTCGAGCAATCAGTTGAACGTGTTATGCAGAGATGCAAATCGATTGGACGAACCTGTAGAGGTTTTTATCCAACTGTGTTTCTATGGTAGGATCCGGTTCACGGCCGTACATGAGGAAAAAGGGGGAAAATCCCATGGAGGCATGTGGAACATGGAGATCCCAGTCGGTTTGTGCCTCATCTACAGACCATAGATGTTATCGTTCTAGAATTGAAGCTTTCGTGACTGCAGAAATTACTATACTCATTGGTTATTTCGGTAAAGTCACGTATCTGATGATGAGCGCTTGTGTTGCATTCGAAACGTCGTGATTAATTTTTACACACAAGTTCCGCTGCAACAGAAGGCCACAAACAGATGCAGGTATGTGTCTGTGGTTGGAGGAAAGTTAAATCACACCATGGGTTGAGGATCCACCAGGGGAAGAAGGGGTGTTTGGGTAAAGAGAGACAGAGGCCTCGCATTGATTACTTTCTGCGAAAGCGATCAAATCAGTCTAATGAAGCACAGCAACTGGACGCAAACCATAGTTTGCAGTGCATCAGTACCACTGTCATGGAGGACGTAAACTCAAGCACCGAAGTAACAACTGAGATGGAACCAACAACAGGAGTGGAACTCACCCAGCCTCCCAGACCTGCAGTCGAGAGGAGACTACCAGGGCACAGACCGTATGTGAAGTGGCCTGGCACCAGTGACAAGAAGTTGTGGGAAACAGTGAATACTGACCTTACCTTGACCCTCGAGAAACTTCGTGGCACAGTGGAGAAGAAGTTGGAGAGGATGGGGGACATCATCTATGAGTACGGGGCAGAAAGCTTTGGAGTGCAAGAGGCAAAAGGCGGGAGAAAGGTTCCAACCCCACCAGTTTCCAGGAGGCAACAAGAAATCAAGCGCCTCGTTCAAGAAAGGAGACAGCTTAAGAAACAGTGGAAGAAAGCCTCGGAAGTGGAAAAGGAGGGCATAGAGGCACTTCAGGCTGACATCAAAACCCGGTTGGCATCCCTCGGTAGAGCAAAGAACCTACGGAAGTGCAGAAGGAAGAAAGAACAAACTAGAACTCGATTAAATTTCGATTTAAAGCTTTCGTGACTGCAGGGATTCATCTTCTTGGTTCATTCGATAAAGTCACGTAGAAGGGAAGTAATAAAATAATAAAAATAAAACATAATAAAATAAAATAATTCTCACGACGTTTCGGCTACAATGCAAGCAGCCGTCCTCAGGTGAAGAACAGGAATTTATGCTAAATTCCTCTTCATATGCACATTATTTTTGTTAAGGCGCTCTTCCACCCAGCTTATATATAAGCTCCTAGCTTGGTAGTGTCTCATTCTTCACCTGAAGACGGCTGCTTGCGTTGTAGCCGAAACGTCGTGAGAATTATTTTATTTTATTATGTTTTATTTTTATTATTTTATTACTTCCCTAGAACTCGATTCTATAAAGATCCCTTCAAGTTCTTTAAAAGTCTCTTCACGAAGGAAAAAAGTGGAGTTCTAAAAACAACAAAGAAAGACCTAGAAGAGCACCTGAGAACAACAAATTTTGACTCAAAGCGACATGAACATCTGGCCATCCCATCAGATATCCCACCCATTGAACCCCCGGAACATCATATTGAGACCAGCCCTCCGACATGGAAAGAGGTGGAAAACACAGTTCGAAGGGCAAGAACAGCATCAGCCCCGGGGCCAAATGGAGTCCCGTACAAAGTGTATAAGAACGCACCAGACGTCCTGAGGTTCCTGTGGAGGCTCATGAGAACAGCTTGGCAAAAGAAGATAATACCCAAAGTGTGGCGTAGGGCAGGCAGGGTCCTGATCCCTAAAGAGAAGGATGCAGTGAACATCAGCCAATTCTGCCCAATCTCCTTACTGAATGTCGAGGGTAAAATTTTCTTTAGGGTCATTGCCCAGAGGATGGCCGAGTACCTGCAAAGGAATGCGTACGTCGATACATCTGTACAGAAGGCAGGAATATCAGGGTTCTCTGGCTGCTTGGAACATTCCAGCATGATCTGGCACCAGATCCAAATGATTATTTGGTTCTTTCGGTTAAGTCACGTCTAAAGATAAAATAATAAATTAAATTAAATAATAGCATACGACGCTTCGATTGCAACACAAGCAATCATCATCAGGTATAATGAAATAGCGACATAAAATCTAACCAGAAAACTATAGACAGACATATTAGCAGACAGATATCACCAAGATACATAGAGGGAGCAACACAGGAACCAGAGAGGGGTGATCATCTCTGTGGGGTGGCCTTAAATAGACAGAGGGGGGAGGAGGCAGAGAGAGGGAGGGGGTTAGGGAAAACATTTGCATATCAATGAGTGGTCCAAAAAACAAGGTTCTGCAAGTGCGATGACACGGCAAGCAAGTCTGAAAATCAGAAGGACAAACTAAAATTCAATAACCTAGCAAAATATCGAAATGTAATGTAATACAACACAGAGAGTCGGTCAACACACAATTAACGCATGGCCTGGTTGATTACGTATTTCAAAGATTGCTAAGTTAGAATTTAAGTGTGAACATTCCAAAGAGAAGACACAGGCAGAGAGAAGAGAGAGAGAAAAAAAGGATAAGCTCAAAACTTCCCCGTAGAAGTGGTTCAATCTTAATTTTAGAACTTTCGTGACTGCAGTAAATGATTATTTGGTTCTTTCGGTTAAGTCACGTCTAAAGATAAAATAATAAATTAAATTAAATAATAGCATACGACATTTCGATTGCAACACAAGCAATCATCATCAGGTATAATGAAATAGCGACATAAAATCTAACCAGAAAACTATAGACAGACATATTAGCAGACAGATATCACCAAGATACATAGAGGGAGCAACACAGGAACCAGAGAGGGGTGATCATCTCTGTGGGGTGGCCTTAAATAGACAGAGGGGGGAGGAGGCAGAGAGAGGGAGGGGGTTAGGGAAAACATTTGCATATCAATGAGTGGTCCAAAAAACAAGGTTCTGCAAGTGCGATGACACGGCAAGCAAGTCTGAAAATCAGAAGGACAAACTAAAATTCAATAACCTAGCAAAATATCGAAATGTAATGTAATACAACACAGAGAGTCGGTCAACACACAATTAACGCATAGCCTATTTAAGGCCACCCCACAGAGATGATCACCCCTCTCTGGTTCCTGTGTTGCTCCCTCTATGTATCTTGGTGATATCTGTCTGCTAATATGTCTGTCTATAGTTTTCTGGTTAGATTTTATGTCGCTATTTCATTATACCTGATGATGATTGCTTGTGTTGCAATCGAAACGTCGTATGCTATTATTTAATTTAATTTATTATTTTATCTTTAGACGTGACTTAACCGAAAGAACCAAATAATCATTTACTGCAGTCACGAAAGTTCTAAAATTAAGATTCAGATTCAAATGGCCAAGGTGGAGAAAAGGGACCTCCATGTAGCCTTCCTCGACCTCGCCAATGCATTTGGCTCTGTGGCCCATGAACTCCTGTGGTCTGCCTTCAGATTTTTCCACATACCGGACACCATCACAACCCTGGTGAAGTCGTACTTTCAGGATCTGCAGTTCTGCTTCACCACCTCAGAGTTCACCACCTCATGGCAATGCCTGAATGTAGGTATAATGGCGGGATGTACCATTTCTCCATTGGCATTCATAATGGCAATGGAGGTTATCATCAGATCCTCAAAATGGGTTGCTGGTGGACAGCGAGTCGACTCTGGTTTTCGCCTCCCTCCACTCAGAGCCTACATGGACGACATTACAACATTGACCACCACTGTCCCATGCACCAGGAGACTGCTCAGAAAACTCGAGGAGAACATCAGCTGGGCCCGTATGAAGATTAAACCATCCAAGTCACGCAGCATCTCGATTGTGAAGGGAGTACTCTGTGACCTGAAATTCTTCATCGGAGATGACCAAATCCCAACAGTGTCTGAGCAGCCGGTAAAAAGCCTTGGAAGGTGGTATGATGCAAGCCTGAAGGACAAAGACCAGGTGCAACAGCTGCGCAAAGACATCAGTAGTAGCCTACAGTCCATCGACAACACCCAGCTACCTGGAAAGTTAAAGGCCTGGTGTCTGCAGTTTGGTCTCCTACCCCGGGTGTTGTGTCCCCTAGCAGTGTATGAGGTTCCAATCTCAACAGTGGAGAAGATGGAAAGAGGAGTCACGAGCTACTTAAAGAAGTGGCTCGGAGTTCCACGATGCCTTACCACCATAGGTCTCTATGGAGATGGTGTCATCAAGCTGCCCCTCACCAGTCTAACAGAGGAATTCACGTGTGCAAAAACCAGGCTCCAGATGACACTGAATGAATCTCGAGACCCAGTGGTGAGCAACAACGCGCTGACCTTGGCAACTGGGCACAAATGGAGGCCAGGAAAAGCAGTCCAGGAGGCAACAGCAGCCCTCAGACATGCTGACATTGTGGGTCATGTTCAGCAAGGGAGAGGAGGCCTTGGGCTAACTAGCCGTGCTGCTTGGAGTAAGGCCACTGCACCAGAGCGGCAGAGGATGGTAGTGCAGGAAGTACGCCATCAGGAGGAGTCTGCAAGGTGGGCCAAGGCAGTCTATCTTGCCAAACAGTGACAATGGACTCGATGTGACAGTATGGAGAAGAGGAAGATCAGCTGGAAGGATCTGTGGGCCATGGAAGCGAGGCAGTTGAGCTTTTCCATCAGAGCAACATATGACGTCCTTCCAACACCAGTTAATCTTCACCAATGGTATGGTGAAGATCCGAACTGTTGCCCTCTGTTCCATGCCAGCCAACCTCAGGCACATTCTCACAGGGTATAAAACAAGCCTCACCCAAGGACGCTACACTTGGCCTCACAACCAAGTCCTTAAAAACCTTGCGTCCGCCCTGGAGGACAAGCGAGCTGCCACCAACTCCCTACCACCCCCAGCAGCATCACACCCCTTACGGACGACCTTTGTCCGCGAAATGGCTAAACCACCGAAGAGCGGCTCTACACCATTAGAGTGAGACCAGCTGCGCTTGGCCCGCGACTGGAAAATGCTAGCTGACATTTGCCGGCAACTTGTGTTTCCTCCGGAGATTGCAACCACCACCCTAAGACCTGACATGGTGCTCTGGTCCCGTTCGCTCAAGAAGGTCTTCATCATTGAGCTCACAGTACCCTGGGAGGACTCAGTAGATGAGGCTTATGAGTGAAAACATCTGCGCTATGCCGATATAGCTGCCGAAGCATGGCATCATGGCTGGAACACAGAAGTCCGACCAGTGGAGGTGGGCTGCAGAGGTTTTGTGGCAACATCTACAACCAGAATGTTTAGAGACCTGGGAATTAAGGGCCAGAGCCAGCGTTCGGCAATCAGAGCTGTATCGGAGGCGGTAGAAGGCAACAGTCAGTGGCTCTGGATGAAGAGGAAAGACCCCAGCTGGGCCCTGAAGTGAGAGGGCCAGGAGGTATGCGGTCAACAATGCTTAACTCAGGGAGGAGGACGCCCCTGCCATGCATAGTCCCATGGGATGTTGGCTATCAACAACAAGGCAACTCCTATGACTAATTGGGAATGGGACGCAAGCGTAGGATTTATCACCCTGTCGCTGGCCGCTTTTGGGGAGGGTGTATAGTGTGAAAGGCCGAAACACCCTAGGAACCAAAGGTACACTACTGACGATGCGTTCCCCAAATTTCACCAGGCCTACTGTTCATGAACTCTTGGAAGTGATTGCACAAAGGATAGTAACATTTCATCCTGTGTTCTTGGAATCTGGTTATAGACTCTGGTTATAGTATCTGGTTATAGTATCTGGTTATAGTATCTGGTTATAGTCTCTGGTTATAGTATCTGGTTATAGTCTCTGCAACTACTTAAAATATTTGATGTTCCTCAACCATTTTTCGTCTTGGGTTTTCCAAATTGAGCAACTTCTCAAAGTACTCTTCCATCTCTCTCTATCTTTTATCTAATCCAAGATTGTTCGTCCTTGACTGTTCTTAACGAGATTTACATGGTTGATGTCCCTGGTCTTCCTCTCTCTTGCTTTTGCCAAACGGTATACCATATGCTCGCCTTCTTTGCTGTAAAGCTTCTGTTAGAGTTGTGTAAATGTATTTTTTTGCCAATACTACCACTCGCTTTGCATCTATTTTCACTGCCAGGTATTCATTCAGATGGTCCTTCTCTCTCGTGTTCTGCTAGTTCTTAAGCTTTGCCTTTTTCTCTCGTTGCCTTTTACACTTCATCACTCCACCACCATGTTTCCTTCAATTGCATATCTTCCTTTGCTCACTCCCACTGTAATACCTGCTGCTTTCAGTTTTCCACTTGCTAGTTGTTGCCATATTTCATTCACGCTCCACCTAGGCCTTGTGGTTATTAAGTTCTCTATAGCTTGTCTGCAGACATTTTATCTCATTGTTTAGTCGCCACCACTTCACCCTATTACTTTTTTGTCTCACCTTCCTCTTCCTAACTCCGTTCACCATGCAATCTGCCACAAATAGTCTATGTTGTCCAGTAAAACAATCTCGAGGGATCACTTTGCAGTTCTTCACTCTTTTCAGGTGCTTCCTCCTCACCAAAATAAAATATATCTGTCTCTTCACCTATCCATCCTGCTAGGTCATCAAATGTCCATCCTGCTTTTGGAAGTAGGTTTTCATGACTGCAAGATACATTGCTTGGGCGATTCGAAGAATGTCCTCTCCTCCCTCATTTCTACTGCCATATCTGCATCCTCCATGACTCCTTTCATATCCCACTCTTCTATTTAATACTGTGCCCATCACAACTGCTTCATCTACCGGTAAGCTCTTAAACTTCCGGTCTAAGTTCTCACAAAATGTATCATTCTCTTTCCCACTGCTACGCATCTGCGGGGCATATGCACACACCACATTTACAACCCCACTGTCCAGTTCTAGTCTGACTATCATCAGTCTGTCAATCACTTGTATGACTTCCACCACCTCTGTCTTCATCTTCTCACTCAGCACAACACCTTACTGACGTTCCATGATATAACAATTCAAAACTACAGCGACTCTCTTTGCTCTGCTGCCTTTCCACTTTATTTCCTGGATGCACGTGATTTCGACTTTCGTCCTTCTCAAGCAGTCCACTAATTCCTGTACACATACTAATGTTCCTCAGTATTTATATACACATACTTGCCTTCATGAGTATGTGTGTACCCTTAACTATATGCATTTGTTATACACGTTATAATCATTGTTCGTTTGTTACATATTAATGTATTATGCATTTCTGTATCACTACAATAACATAAATAATAACACAACACACAGCGTGTGTGTGTACACGCGGTGTGCAATTCTCGTGCTGTGACTGCTGCGTGAGCGTAATCACTGTCGTCACCACAGATGGACGCTCACCGACTCTGGACACAAACTCAGCCTGCGACTACATCCAAATTTCCTCGGATCTCAGGACGGTGACGTGGAGCGGTGTCTCCCAGGGTCGCCCCCAACACCCACACCGGTTTGATGTGAAGTTACAAGCCCTGTGCTCCGAGAGCTTCTCGTCGGGTCAGCACTACTGGGAGGTGGACGTAGGAGGCAGCACTGGGCAGTGTTGGATTGGAGTCGCGTATGGGACGATCCCACGGAGAGGGCGTGGTGCTGAGTGTGGCCTGGGATGCAGTGACGTCTCCTGGAGTCTAAGGAAAGTTGACGATAGCTTCTCAGTGTGGCATGGCGGAGTAGCAACCTCACTGTTGGTGCCGGAGCCTACACGAAGAGTCGGGGTTCATCTGGACTGGGACGCGGGGCTCCTGTCTTTTTACAGCGCCGACTCCATGGCACTGTTACACTCGGTTCACCAAACCTTCGATCAGCCTCTATATCCAGGGTTGGGAGTGGGGGGATGGTATATCGGTAAATTTGGTGAGTCAGTGACGATTGTGGATCTGAGTCGTGCGTCCTAAGAGAGGTGAAGGTGAACACCATAGAGAGCAGACACTACGACGCATGGCGCTCACTACTGTCATCACTGTTACACGCAATGCCACACTCTTGACTGGTTGGTGAGTATCAGTGGTTAGGAGTGCGTCGCTCTCCATTAGAATTAGGGGGCTGGGCCTAAATCCTCACGACCTTCTAAGGTAGGGGTTGGCAACCCAAAATAACAAGAAAATATATTTTTTGTTCGAATTACGTAAAAACAACTCCATTTCAAGAGCCGCTACAATGCATGTGGTGAATATGAGACAGTGGCTCTTTAATAAACAACGTTACGAAGCAGTTTCTTAAAGAGCCGCATGCGGCTCCAGAGCCACAGGCTTTCAACCTCTGGTCTAGGGAGTGATACAATTTCAGTTTCATTTATTTGGTATAGCCCTGTGAGCCATTTAGCTCTTGAATCGGGTGCAACCGCAACAAACAAAAAACAAAAACATGAAACAAAAACATAAACAAGAAAACATATTAAAGTGACTATGTGCAAACAGAAAATCCAGGAAAAGACAGCAAAATATTCCACAAAAAGCAACGTACACCAACGCTGTGTGCAAAAATCCCAGGGGGATGCAAGTCAAACAACAACAACCACAAGACAAACTTAGATTCAAGCCATCAGTCTAACTCCGTACTACAACAAACAAACATGGCCAAACCAAAAAGCGTTTTGCAATCACCAAAATAAATTCATAAAAGCAATGTAACAGTGATCATAGGAACTGTGACCGAATTTTCACAATAAACGTCATAAACAACATATACCACCAGACCCTACAGCCATAGCTGGCTGCATGAGTCACTCCACAACAGCAGGAGCATCAGTCGGAGTATCAAAAATTTTCAATGCACCTTCAAGATCAGCACACTAATTCAAAACACAGATCATACTTTGCAGCGGTCATCCGGAGAGAAACATTTTGGTTGATTTTAGGTCACTGAATAGCAGTGGCAGCTAGGGGTGTACAACTCCTCTAGAGCAGTTTTGAGTGAAGATCTTATAGGTAGTGATTCAAGTTGCAGTTTATTGGCGATATCATTCAAGACCCTGGGGGCATCAATAGCAAAGGCCCTTCCTCCAGTATTTGTGGACTGAGACACACACACACACACATATGGACTCACACACACAGACACATAGACATGCACTTGAGATACACACACATGGACTTACACACACATATATGGATGTAGACACATATAGCGACTCACACAAACACACACACCGACTCACACACACATTGACGTAAACACACATATGTACCTACACACACATATGGACGAAGACACACACACATGGACTTACACACACACAGCGACGGATACGCACACAAATGGACTGACACGCACACTTGGACTGACACACACACATAAACACTTTGACGTACACACACACATGGGGCGTTGTCCATTCAAAAAAGACAGACACACACATGGAGTTAAAGACACGCATGGCTCTCCATGCACACACATATGGACTCAAAGACACACACATCGACGGGCACAGTAATCCCCGATGATGGCACAGCCATCAGTATGGCAGTACTACGTATGAGGAAATAGCGTGACGTTAGCGATGGAAACAATAGAAATGTATTGAAGAAATATTCAAAAATCACAGACTGGCAGTAGACCGTGGCAGCGTCATAAAAGCGCAGCAAAAAAAGAGAAAATTGAGCAACGTAATAATCCAAAAAGACTTTGTGCACACAAACATAATTATTGTAACATCTGTCAACTTGTTTCATAATGGTAAACAATGGACCTGAGTTGTTATCTGCACACAATATCTGGCAACGTATTTGTTTAATAATAATAATAAGCAATGAACGTGATTAATGATCTGCACACAAACATTATTATTGTAATGTTTGTGAACTAATGTGTTTAACAATAGTAAACAATGGACTTGCGTTGTTAGCGTAAGAAGCAAGGAACTCTGTTCGCACCATAGCCATGTTGAGGCCTTGTGCCATGCGTAGCCCCCATCCTGGCCTACATTGGCGAGGCGGTGGAGTTGGCACATTGCCAGGCTAGGGGCTGGGCCGCTACCCCCCCCCCCCCCCCAGCATTACCAGCGCGTGCAAGAATATTGCTATGTAAGCACTAAAATATTATTATCTACGGAGTCTGTACTATAAACTGGACGCATCGTGTTAAGGGGGGCGAAGAGGACATGACACTGTGAATAAATATCCGCAGCGTTATGTGTCTATGTGTTGTCTGTAAAATGCGTAAAAGGAAATGTCCCCCGTGAGGTCGAGCGAACGCGCAGCACTTGTGGCAGGGTCCGCCCACCCACGCAATTGTCGTCACTTGGTACGGTGGATGTCGCGCAATAAGTAAATAATGAATAATAGAAACAGCACAAATGTGTTAATTAAACTACTTTAACGTTTACGGATGGGAAAACGGAATAGCCTATTCCCACCGCGGGGCTTAGGGCGTGCTGCCTGTCAAATCTTTTTCTACGTGAAGCCCACCGTCCAAGAGCCAAATCTCCCGCAAGCGCGAACACGCGGAGATTGTAATATAAAAGAGAAGAAAAAAGAAAAGAAGAAGAAAGAAAGATGTCACAGTAATCAAGTAGAGGCAGTATGTTAGCTTTTATCAATTCCAAACGGAACATAGGGTGGAAGCAGTGTTTGTGTCGATACAGAAAACCAATTTTTATTTTTGTCTTTTTACCAATATAATCAATGTGATCTTCAAAATTCAGTTTTGAATCCAGGATGACCCCAAGATACTTATAGATATTGTCTCGCTCTATTTTTTAAAATTATTATTTAAGGAATGTAATTGGGGAAAAATAACTTCCTGCTTTAGTCCTGGTGAGCATTGCACCTTGGTTTTAGAGGTATTCAGGATTAGTTTAAGAGCAACTAGCTGATGTTGTATTTCGTTGAAATCACCCTGAATATAACTACCAGTATGAAATATAATAATAGGTTTGACTCCTTTCTGGCATTAAAATAGGTTGTTAAGATGTTCAAACATTAAATAAATACATTTTACAAGGAATGAAGTCAGCATTAACCACACATACTTGTAGCAACACATGGAAACATGTGTGCTTTGATAATAATGTATGCACTGTCTTTGAAACCAATTGGCCTACACCAGAGACAGCCTTGTGTGTGAAGCCAACATGGATGTATTCACTCTGCCAGAGGAGTGTGATTATAGTGTAGCAGTGCTATGATTATCAATGGTAAAATGGGATTTGTTTTTCCACTGTTAGTGTAATACATTGTGGAGAAGAGAGCCAATAAAAATATTCAGTTTAAAAAGTAGTAATGTACACTTACAAAAATGCAATTATAACGCTTGTATCGTTGATTCTGCAATAAAAATGATTGAATATAAATGTTAATAACAAGTTTTTTTATAGCGTCGTTCATGCTAATTGCATTACACAATGATGTACATTAATTAAATATAACGACCAAATACTACATATAGCCAGGATCAAGCAAATTAAATACAAAAATGAATAAACACATACAGAAATGGCACCTAAACAAAAGACATAAGCAACAAAAATCTATTAATGTCCGAGTTTTTTTTATATATTATCTGGTGTTGTATGATAGGCGCGGCGACATCACGCAAGCTTCTGCCGCGGTGATATCAACCTTCAACGGCTCGGTCAAGCATTCTCAACCCCCTCACCCAGCCCCCCCTCCGTCTCCACTCGCTCCCTCGCCCAGCCCTCATTTCTTCATTCAGTCATCAAGCAGAATCAGTGACGGACCATTGCGCCAAATGCGTGACCTCTCGCGACATCATTCGCATAAACTGCTCTTGATGCTATACACAAGCGTCTCAAGTCATTTGTTTGATCCACGGATCACGGCGAGGGGTGGCGGCCACATTACTTTGAGGGTCGCAGTCCACTTGGAACGTCGACTGCCTACTGAGGACATCGGGCAGCAAGCGGTGTCTCTAAAATCTGAGGCGGAAGAAGCCTCTCCCTGGTGTTGTATATATTGTGATAAAAACATAATAAAACACGGAAACATAATTAAATATTGCGAACCTTTTTTTTCATTCGATCCACAGCTGGAGTGTGCTCGAGACTCTCGAGTCAGCACCCTCGTGGTTAGCCGTTAGCTGCTCCCCTGCACGCTCGCTGGTTATCTGCACGCCAGCCTCGACCTGCAGCTGGCGCATACTCGCTGCTTTCGCTGCTCAGCACGTGCCTGTCAGTCGAGGTTCGCGAGCACCCTTGGTGCCCCCCCCCGGGGAGGTCTCCCGCTGTGCCGCAGCGTGCACGTCTCGATAACTCACTCCCGGACTCTCCAAAACTCATAAAACATCAGTCACTTGACCAACATAACTTTTCCAGCCTATAGCTTGGACAATATTTCATGCAAACTCGATATGGGTGGAAAACTCAAATTTCCACTTAACTTCTCACACGTCTTAGCTGATCACAGTATGATAAGAAAATTCCTTTGCGCACCTCTTTGCTTATCACAACTCATAGCTTAGTACAGTGCAACTTCTCGACGTCCTTGACTCTGTAAATGACTCAAAATATAAGGACAAACGTAGAATAAAACTTGCAGCTATACTTAGAGTTTGCCTTAGAAAGAACTCAACACTTGCCAGTGATGGAGGCAACCCCGGAGTCTGTCACCGCAGAACTCAACACGATGGATGATTACTGTGGCCAGACCCACCCCGAAGCTCTCCTCTGCAAGACTGGTTTGTACGATTTCGTGTGGTGTTTATCGATGCATTTCTAGCTTATATGATTAATTACCGAAGACATACTCTTTGTTTTTATCGGTAAAGTCACGTAGGTAGAAATAAAATAAAATAAATCACGCCTTTTCGATCACAACACTAGCGATCCTCATCAGGTGGAACACCCACAGCAAGAAAATGCTGAGGTAGGCGTGAGAGCTGCCGTGGCAAGAGGTTATATAGGCAAGGGGGGCGAGAGAGAGAGGGGGGTGGGTAGGGGAAGGGGGGGGGGCCGCGTGAGCGCAAGGGAAAGAGGACGTGAGGCTGGGGGAGGGGGGAGTGGGCGGGGCTAGAAGTGGGAAGCTGTGTGGACACGGGGGGAAAAACAGAAAAAAGGTGCTAGTAGACCGGCAGGTAGGATGGACATATTAAGGCCCGATGTTCCTCCCACCATTGCACATCCCTGGTTTTGGCTCGTCAGACATCTTGCACCTAATGGCATAACCCCTATCATGCTCCCTCCCTCCGAAGGTCATCCCAATATTTTTGTGAACACAGACCCACTTAATTGGCCCTTGATGTGGTGTGTGTATCTGTACCCCGGTTTGCCAAGTTCGAGTCCCACTCACAATCAACACAGTAGCAGTTATCTGAACTGGTTCCCCCTCCCCCTTAGGTCGACTCAGCCTTAATATGAACAATTGGTGCGGCATGTAAAATAGCCACTGGGAAGACAAAGATGATGTGGCAGGCTCTGATTATATCCCTGGAATACATATTATATTTGATCGTGGAGAATTAACATAATTCATATTACGTATGTAGTGACATCGCTGGATGTCAACATGCTGTGGTTGCAGTACCGGCCCTAGAGGGGCAGGGTGTGCGCTGAATAATAGCGCTGGATGGCACACGCTTTAAGTGCAGTGCCGACCCTACAGGACAGGGTGTGTGGGTGCCGACCAAATGTAAGGTTGTATGAGGCCATGGCACTCTGGTTGACCCGGTAGGACACGTGACCGGTTAAGTTGACAGAGGGGCCCCAAGAGAGGATTAAGGGGGGGTCACGTGATTGGGAAGGTGAACGTGGCCAAGGGCGGAGCCGACCACGCCACAGAGAGCGACCAGGGTTGTTGTTCATCCTGGAAGAAACCCTTCGTCTCCGTTTTCCGTCCAACACGTGGACCCGGGCCGAAGTCATTGGTCCCGGTCCGCAGTAGCAGTTACGTTGTAACTAGTGTAGTTAGCCTGGTGGTCACCACCTTAGGTTGTTATTCTGTTAAGGAGAAGTTACCCCGTGTGTGGGAAATTAATAAATGTATTGCCTCCAAGTCAACATCGGCGACTTTGTTGAACCCATTACACGTATATTTTTCCGAATTATCAATACTTTAAAACCAAACTTCCATTATTCGTTATCAAGTTGACGTGCTAAACCCATGGCACTTATGTATAAATTAGTGTATGTTAATTAAACATGCCACTAGTCATATTCAAAACCTTCTAACTAGGTGCTATATTGTCATTTAACAATATATTCTATCCCCCAAGTTAACGTTTAACACCAATATGTTTAAGAATATTTAATGCAGTGGTTGCCATTTGAACGTTTTAACTTTTCAGGTACTAAGGTTTGTTAATTCAGAGAGTGAAATGGCAAGGGACGGGCTCTGTCATTGTGCCCTGTATTTGCCCTCAGGTGGACAGGGAGTTTATTGTGTTTTGCCATGGGTCCTCTCTCGTGTACATTTCTCTCTCACATATTTCCCTGGGTCACTCCTTGCCCATGCAAGAGTTATTCCTCGATGGCCTATCATGAAGTTTTCCTCCATTGCTACATGAGTTAGGTTAATTCCTGGGAAGCAAAATATACTATGGCTTCAAGGCCTTCTTCAGCTCTGGTTATTCTAATCATACCCATCTGATCGATATATCTTGCATTGTTTCCCCACTTCTCATTCTAGTGCTGTTTTGGCTTTGTCATCTGATTGTCCCGACTTTCAGGATGCAGGGAACACATTCGTCTCCAAGGAGTTATGCTATTAAAATTAAAAATTATCTAAATTAATAAACATTTTTTGAAAAGGCATATATATATATACATCAACTTGGATTCCGAGCGGCTGTGAAAACTTGAACGTTAAAACGTATGAATTGCTTTCTCATGAAAAAACAATAAAAGCATAAAAATACAATCCGGGTTGGTGAAGTCGAGTCGTGGACCATTTAATAATAAACTCGTCAATGATGTTAGACATGGCCAGATATTGAACTCATATCATCAGATTAGCCTTGAAATCTCTTCACCATCGACACTGTTCGTCACGCTCCTTCTTGCATTGGCCTACAGCAATGTCACTTTATTCGCAGCAGCCTAGCCCTATGGTAGATGACATCTGACTTCTCAGGCTGCTGGAGTTTTTTCGGTCAAAGCGGGGAGTCTTTATCTGCGGAAACTAAGTTCCCATACAAAATCTCTCACGATTCTGACCTTGGCTTCGTGCTATTCACGGCCTACACGTCTCTGATTGGCTGCCTCACTAAGAACATTGGCGTCAAATAACATTGCTCGGCATACGGCACCAGACTCCTCACCTCAGTTGAATACCGTTTTTTCACACGAAATAATCACGAGATTAGTTGTAGAGAATACAATTAACAATATCGACAAACAGTCACTACGACTCCTTCATATATCTAACATTTAAGTAACATTGATAATACAAGCAAATTCCGGATTATGTTTGTCATACAGTGTGTCATCAGCAGCCAAGTATACTTCAATCAATATTGGTGAACTATGCATTTGTGGTGGTCATGATTGACACACACGCGCCACAACCAGGGGGAGGGGTAGAAACCGGCCCGGTCAGGCCAACGGCGGTTGAAACCCCTCTGAGGGGAGGGGGCTGGCAGGAGCTACGATCCCCCAGAACCCTGCCCCTCAGGGAGAAAGAGTATATAAGGCGGGTCCCTGAGAGTGCGAGTCAGTCCGTCTCAAGCCAAAGCCAGAAGCCGCCTGAAGAAGAAGAAGACCCTGGATCCCAAGCCGCCGACGTCCTTCTAAGGGCCGGGGCTCAGCGCGGTGCCAGTAGTTGTGGGGTTAGGACCCTGAGGTTCCCTCGGCCTGATGCGCTTGTGAGGGCCAGGTCTGGAAGGGCCACTCGTCAGGGACCCACCGGGCCAGCGGTGGGTCAGCCTTCCCTAGGTTTAATTAGCCTGAGGGCTGAAGAAGGGAGAGTTGTAGGTACGATAGCCCGGAGGCTGTACCTCCCCAGGTTGTGGGTGAAAGGGGCCATTACCCCTTTGTGTTAGGGATTAGTGTAAACTGTTTGGTGAAATAAAGTGTGTTGCCTCTACGAAGACTCCGTCTCCCTCCAAGAACATTACAACTGGTGACAGAAGTGGCCAAGAACTTTGCCTACATGGAGACCAGACAGAAGGTGCTTACCAGGGCTCTGGACAAGGAGGCCGATGCCGACGCTGCTCTGGAGGCGGGGGCGCCTTTTCCGGGGGATGGGTCTGCAGCGGCGGGCTCGCAATCTCCGGGCCCCTCAGGGAGCTCGCCACTATCGGGATGGGCGATCCGGTCGGCACACGCTCGGCTGGCCGATCTCCTGCTTGCCGCTGCCTCTATCCTCGATGAGCTCACGCTGGGTGGAGCAGTGGCTGCGGGTG